AGGCATCGACCCTGTGTGACGGTGAGGGTAGAGGGAGGAGAGGTAGGAAGTGGAGTAGAGGAAGGCCTTAAGTAGAGGGAGGAAGAGACAAACTCAGGAAGAGGTACTCGCTCTCACTCTCTCACACAGATGCGGTGCGGTGCACGTAGCGGCCGCCATCATGCACATGAGTGGATGGATGGATGGATGCGTTAAAAATACACACACACACACACACAGACACACACACGCGCATAATGAGAAAAAATGAGGATGCACATGAAAGAAAGAAGGAGGCAGAGAGCAAGCTAAGCGAGCAATGAGAAAAATACCACCAGCAAGCTTGGATGAGGCGACCCATCCATCTTTATTTCGACCTATCTAAGGTAGCTTCTCTTGCCCTCCTGCCCCTCTGTCTTTGTGGTTGTTGTCCTTGTCATTGTCATTGTGAGGGCGGTGGTGCGGGTGGTCCGCGGCCCACTGCGGCCGACAGCAGCGCCCAGGCCTTCATGCCCACATCCTGCGATGCTGACCGCACCTCCCACGCACCCGTGCTTCGCCACCACCACTCGGCCTCGCCGGTGAATGGGTTGTGCCACCAGCCCCGACTGACTGGCTTTGACACCCGCACAACCTTGGCGAAGGTCGGGTAGTACGGCACCTGGTGGGCGGGCATGTTGGTGCCGTTCATGACGGGGATGCTGCACTGGTGCCGTCGGGGTGGGGGAGGTGGTGGGGGCTCTCGGTGGTGGTCATGGCCGGACGGTGCTGCTGGTGGCGGTGATTGGGGTGGCATGGGGGCGTCTCGTGCTCGGCGGGCGGCGTGGAGAGCCTTGATGTGTGGCAGGAGGACGGCACGGGCCCTTGTGGCTTCGTGTGGGGAGGGGTGTGTGTGTGTGGCGGCAGGGTGCGGCTCTTTCGGCTCGTCCTCGGCCTCGACAACGACTGCTGATCGCGCGCACATACATACACAGAACGAGAGACAGAGAGATACCAATGAGGCAGGCCCATGTATCTGTTGTCTGCCTGTGCCTGTCCAACTGACATACCTTCGACAACCTCAGAACTAATCACTGGCTGGGCCGATAGTGGCGGCTGCTGCAGCGTGACCCTCTCGTCCCCCTCGTGTCCCTCCAACTGGTCTCCCCCCTGGCTCTGCTGCTGCTGGAGGTGCTCGTGGCCCTCGCTCTCCTCAGGCATGCTGGCCATATCCTCCTCGTCACGCTCCTCCTCAGCCGCCTCACGGCCCTCTGCAGCAGCGCCGGCGTGGAGCTCGTCCATGGCCTTCTGCACCTCGCTTAGGAGGTCGAGGGCGCGGCTAAGAGCGCCCTTGATATCCGCCACGGTGCCGCGCTGCTGCTGGTTGGTGACGAGGCCTTTGGCTGCGATGCCGGCGAAGATGTCTAGCCAGTCGTCCACCCACGGGAGGCCGTCCTCCTCCCCCAGGCCGTCAAGCGGGCACACTGGCTGGTGGTCAGGCGTGTCGGGCTCCCCAGCGACGAGCGGGCGGCCGTCGTCGTCCATGACGAGCTCGCGGAACTTGTCCCACTGCATGACCATCAGCAGCTCCTGGTCCTGCAGTGGGACGGTGGAGTCGTCGATGCCGAACAGCTCCAGCACGCCCTCCATCATCGAATGGCCCGCCCTCAGCAGCAGCTCTATCAGCATGCACAAGCTCCAAACCACTGCAGGCTCGCCAACCCACAGCCCCTCCCTCACTACCGCCCCCGCCAGCTGCAGCTCACACGACAGGTCTTCCATGGCCTCCTTGATTGGCTCACTGACGGCGTCAGGGGTGGCGGCGGACAGTCCGTTGCCGCCGTTGAGGAGCAAGTGCTCCGGTGAACACAGCCACCTGGTGCCGGTGGGGATCTGCCGCAGCCTCTGGCGATCGGCCTTCTCCGTGGGCACACGGGCGCCACGGCCGCCGATGAGGGGTGGTGGGGTGGGGGGGGACGCCGTGTCGGTGGGTGGTGTGCAGACGCTGTTGGCCAGGTCTATCATGCGCACGCCATGGCATGCCTCGGGGAGGGGAACTGAGGGATCCGGGCACAGCCGCGACCTCTCCAACATGACGTTGTTGGCGAAGGCGTCCACGCACACCACGCCCTCCTCCAGTGCGTAGTCGTGCGCTGTGGCCATCTGCGCGACCGCCTTGGTGACTACAGTGAGGTCGCCGAGCAGCTGCCTGGCGTCCTTGGTGCGGCGGTATCGGGCGGTGATGCTGCTGAGGTGGTAGCTGCCCTCCCGCTCGCTGACACTGGACCACTTGAGGCCGCACAGGCGACTGAACTCTACCCACTCGGGCTCTGATGCAACACACAGACACAGACAGACACGACAAACATTGTACGTGTTGGTGGATGGATGGATTGATCTCTCTCTCTCTCTCTCTGTGTGTGTGTGTGTGTGTGTGTGTGTGTGTCTGTCTGTACCCTTCAACAACGGCATTACTAAGCAGGTCCTCCTCTCCTGCGTCGTGCCCCGCACGAAGGCGCCTTTGCCCGCTACGTGGAGCGGCAGGAAGGGCGGGCGCCCTCCCAGCATCCGCATCCTATCCTGCTCGGCGGCAACCTCCGTGCTCCGGATGTCCTGCCTCTCGCTGCCCTCCCCTCACGCACCAGCTTGAATGCGGCATCACCGCTGCTGATCCTGCTGTTGCTGCTGCTGTTGCTGGCGTGGGTGCCACGTGGTCGGAGTGAGGGTGGCAGGGGGGCTCTCATGACGGTGGCTGTGGCGCCACTGCCGACACACGCGTCGTGGCGGAAAACTACGCGGCGCTGGCCATTAGGCACAACGCCCTTATCGAAAACGAAGGCGGAGATCATCGCTGTAGGCTTATCTCGCTGCCTGCAGGCTCCTCGTCTCGAGAAACCTCTATTAGTGCTCTGCATCGCCACCGAAAATTTGCCTTAGAGCAACGTTTTTCCGTGAAATGCCTTTCCGTGAAATCGTGACGGTCGTTCGTGAGAGGGGTGAGGGGTGAATTTCCTTCGAGTTTTGAGTCGCCCCGCATGGCATCTCTATCTCCTTTGTTCTAAGCATGGCTCCCAAGACCCCGCCGGTCAAGAAAGCAGGCGGAACAGGCAGGGGCGGGAGGCACTCATCGGTAGGTATCCTATGGAGGGAAGGCACTGCACAGCTGCCCAAACAGCCAAACGCGATAGAGAGATCAGCGGGTGCGGTGTTGTTCACATCAGCACGTGTCACGTGGTGGTGGAGGTTCCGCAGATCGTAACAGGCGCCCTGACAGTGTGGCAAACTACTCGGTACGTATCTGCCATGACTGGCGAACACATGTCTCCCACACAGAACCCACTCGCTTGTCGGTGTTGTCCTTGGCTGCAGCAAACGTATCTCAATGATCCCAATCGCACTGGCCGCAGCAGCAGCGTCGAGGCTCGCCCTGCCCAGACCGGTGCACGGACCTCATCACACGAGGCTGAGATGAACCCCACCCCCCTCCACCCCCCCTCACCCAAATGCACACACGGCCAGGGAACTAAGGTGACAGACACACAAGAAGAACCACAACACAACACAACAGAACACACCGTACCGCGCCGCACGACACACACAGATGGATGGATGGATGGATGGATGCTTCCCTCCCTCCCTCAGCAGTTTGGCGGTTTTGGCAGTGGCGGTGACGATGTGCTGGTCTCGGGTCGGCTGGAGGGTATGGACATCAATGAGAACCCTGGCAACAAGTCCCCCGTCGTGCGTTCGAGTCAGCCTGCCCCCGCTGTGTCCCCCTCACCCCCACCTGCGCCGGGCCAAGTACGTCCGTCCGTCGGTCACGTCACGTCACGTCACGTCACGTCACGTCAGGCACTAGTATGCACTGTGTGGATGTATCTATGTGTTGCGTGTGTGTTCAGGGAGGCGCCAAGTTGACACACGACGAGTCGGCAGGTGGGTGAGCCAGGGACATGACAAACATAGCACAGACACACGCCACGCCACGCCACCACACGTGTGTGTTTTGTTTGCTCTCTTGTCCTTCCTTCAGGAGGTGTTGCGGGTGGCAGTCAGAACGTCCGCCAAGTGCACACACATCCGTCCATCCATCCATCTCGCTGTGTGTGTGTGTGTGTGTGTGGCATGTATGTTATGGGTGCAGTCTGTGTTGGAGGAGGATAAGTTGAGCGTGCAGCAGGGGCAGGGGGCCGGGGGGGCAAGGGTACGTCAGTCCAGCACAGACAAATCCAAGCCCAACCCAACACACACATAAATTGTCCCGAACACCCTGCTTGCAGGTGCGCCGTGACGAGGTGGCTCAAGCCGATGACACCGACACTACGCAAACTCCATCGACCACTTCTAAGATGGTATGCACGCAAACGCACAAACACACACGCACACACGGTTGTGCATGGCAGCGCCCCTTCCAGCCGGCCAGACCCAAGCATACCATCAAGCCAAAGGCGAAATCGCACCTCCCGACTGAGGTGAGCCGATCGACAAACTCACACCCACACTCACAGTACACGTGCACAGCTGTTTGTGTGGTTGTGGTTGTGGTTGTGGTTGATGGTGGTCTTTGCTTTTCTTTCTGCTCTGCAGGGCAAGAAGACTGTGTGGCGCCGTAAGGAGGTACGTGACGTGACGTGACCCGACCCACTCTCACCCCCACCCACCCCCACCCCACCGACCGACCGACCCATACCCACCACAGACCACGGACACATGTATGTATGTATGATGCACGCAGGTAGTAGAGGAGATCCGTGCTCGTGTCGAGAAGAAGAGCAGTAAGCAACGCAACGAGACCAGACCAGACCCCTGCACTGCACAGCCAGCAGATGAGATGGCATGCATCTTGTTGGGAATGGGCTGCAGTGCAACGTGACAGCGTGGATTGGTACGAGGACGATGTGGATTGGGAGTCGCCCCCACCCTCACCAGAGAAACTCTCCCTGCACACTCGTAAGCCTAGCCTACTCCACCCCCACCCCCATATACTACCGTTCTCTTCTCCTCTGCTCTCCTGTCTGCTGCACCCAGACGATGTCGCGGATCCCACTACGCGCAGCAAGATCAAGACCACATCCGCCGGCCTGGCCCTCGCCGACGCCCCCGCCACCCTCCTGAGCTCCACTCTCGGCCACTGCGACGGATATTCACGACATGATCCCCAGCGAGAGGAGGCCTACTGGCCAAGGTGCGCGAGAAGGAGGCCTTGGAGGCGCGCTTCCGACAGCAGCGAGAGCGGGAGAGGGAGCTCAAGGAGGGGGGAGGAGCGGTGGCCGGCGAGGGGCTGGGGCAGGGGGAGGGGAAGCGGCGCAGCAAGACGCTGCGGTATAAGGACGGCGGGCAGACGGAGGGTATGGATGAGGGGGCGCAGGACGGCGATAAGGACGGGGATAAGGAGCAGGAGGTGGGAAGGGTGGCACGCTTCCGCGGCATGAGGGGCCGACGCCTATCTTTGCAGCAGTTCATGGGGAGTGGATTCAGCCCAGAATCCGAAAAGGGCAGGAAGCCAGGCGGCAAAGGCCAGTGAGTGACAGAACAGACATAGACACGAACATAGATACAGACGAACGAAGAGACAAATCGAGAGAAGACAGACACAACGGCAGTACAGACAGACAGACAGACAGACAGAGAGACAGACTGTGAATAGGTACCACCACGACTGTACGTGTGGTGGGTGACTGATTGGGTGGGGGAGTGGGGACACATGTGCATACGTACATATGGACAGACACATGACAAGAAAGACACAACGAGAGGGAGAGGAAGGCACCGGTGGCATGTCTGACCGCTGTTTGCTGATGACATACCGTGAAACCCCGACACACGCACGCACGTGGTGAAGGGGCGGCAAACAGCCAGGCAGCTACGGGTGCCCCCTCCCTCTCTGTGGTCTGGTGACGGATACGCGTGTTCTGAACGAATGGATGGTGGTGCTGATCACATAATGCACACACGATCTCATCCACTTGCCCCCATCGACTCAATCATCCACATCGGTCAACCAACAAGTCACTCTCTCCGTGCGTCAACCAGCCAGCCAGGCCATTATTCATTCATTCATTCAGATGCGTGTCATGTATGTCACCCGTTGTCTGTGAGCCTCTCCATCCGTCCACTGCAGACCTCTCTCTATCTGTCTCTCTCATAATCAATCATGCAATCAGCGTGTTGTTGGTCTTGCACTGTGCCGCACACTCGTCTCTGATTTGTGTGTCGTACTGGTCCTTGTCGTTGGCCGTCGTGCAGCAGTGGCCGCACACGGCCCTCCGGCACGCGGCCTCACTGCTGCGCTGCGACGCCTGGGAACACATGGCGAACACCTCACCGCGACCACCCACACACGAACTGCACAGAGAGAGAGGGAGACACACATGAGTGGATGTGTGTGTGTGTCTTTGTGTGCGGTGGCCAGCGCACCTGAGGATGCTCTCGAGTGCGCTCTGTGTCTCGTGAGCGTGCTGGTCGTTCTCGTGGCACGCCCGGGTGCACTCCAGAAGTCCTCCACTCTCACCCCCCACACTGATACATACCCCAAACACACGCACACCCGCACAGCCATGCCATGCCATGCCTTCCCCCGTCTGTGTGTGTGGTGTCCTTACTGGTGCTGGCAGCACTTGAAGCAGAAGTGTCCCACATCAGCGCACTCGCTCAGTGCTGCACTCGGTTGCAGGTCGCGGCACACACGCTGCCGGTCGAGGGCGTGGCTGGCAGACAAACACACAGAGGCCGGGAGGGCGGCGAAGGACATCGCACTCTCCATTGCTGTGTGCGGCGGGATGACAATGTCCGGATGCTTTGATGATCGGAGGGGGCCGTGAGTGTCGCTGGCTGATGCGGCGGTGAGGGGGTGGGCTGATGAAGGCAGCACCGTCATGTTTGCGAAGGCCACGCCCGCACAGTGAGACGACAGCAGCCCAACAGACCCATCCTGAATGCAGACAGGTGACACACATTCATGGATGGACGTCTCTGTGCGTTCGTCCCCTTTTGTTGCTCACATCGAGCTCGTGTAGACCGCCAGTCTGCAGTGTTGCCTTCTTGGTGTGCTTGGGGCCGTACACGTCGACGCGCAGCTCGGAGTGCTCGAAGGCCACCTCGACCTTCAGCCACTGGCTGTCCGATGGGAAGCCGCCCGACCGGTCAGAAGCCAACACCGATACTCGGCCCTCGATCGACTTGCGCACCTACACGAGACACACACACAAGGGGAGAGGGATGGATAGATAGATGACATTTATTTTACACATGCATTTGTTTACTAGTACCTGCAGGGCGTTTGGTGTGAGCACGACGGCGTAGTAGCTGTCAGTGTGGGGCTGGTAGCGCAACACCACACCGACAGCTGCGTCGTCGCCAGAGCACTGGGGGAACATGTGCAGCCTGATGCGGCCATCTCGGCAAGTCACGTGACGCTTCACCAAGGCAACAGTTTGCGGGACGCCAGACAACTATCACACCACACAAGGAGAGACGTGCATCCCTCTCGCCCTGCCTCCCTCTCTGTGTGTGTGTTGGTGTCTCATTACATACCTGTGCGAGTACTTTTGGTGCGCCGGCCACGTGTGTCTTGTACTGCCAGTCGGACGTCCCCGCCGGTGTGTCTCGGTCGCCGCCTCCGTCTGTGACGTGCCACGTCGCCGGCACGCCGCCGCCGAGTGCCGCAGCCATGCTGAAGTAGCTGCATTGAGGCGGAAGGGGCGGCACGAGCGTCGTGGACGGCGCCTCACACGGCGCTGATGCGAAGGCGAGCCGGTCGAAGTGGGCCTGCGCGCCACTCGTGAACACACCCACACTGCCACTGCACACACACACACACACACACACACACAGACACACACAGACACACACAGACACACACAGACACACACAGACAGAACAGACAGGTGGAGATGGATCAGTCGATGCATTTGGGGGGTGTGTGTGTGTGGTTGGGGTGTGTGCTGTGCGCACGAGATCAGTGATCCGTCGTAGGTGTCGAATATGTCCGACAGCTGTGTGCCGGTCTCGCCGCCCTTGACGCGGATGTGGCCTTGACGGAGCGTGATGTTGAAGCTGTACCACTGGCCGGTCACATAGCCGCCGTCGTATATCTTCTGCAGCTCGAAGGCACTCCCATCCACAACCTTGACCTATACACACACACACACACACACACACGTGTGCATTCAGATGGTGGCTGTTTGTTGTTTAGGTGAGGTGAGGTTTGCTTGCCAGCCGTTTGTAGCCGTTTGGCCTTTGGCGCATCTCGAACATCATGAGATTGTCCATGTCAGTCGCTCGGAACACCAGACCGGCGCTGCCAGTCCCGCCAGCCACGTACACGTCAGCCGTGAATGACCCGTCGTACACACTGCACACACGACACGACACACACGGATCGATCTGTGGATATCTGTCTGTGTGGTGCGTAAGTTACCGTGTGTCCTTTCGTATGCATGTGGTGCCCGTCATCATCTGGCCTTCGACCATCGACAACTGAAGCATCCATTCCATGGACACACAGATGGGCATCAAGACACTTGTGTGATGGATGATGATGTGCCAACTAACTTACTTGCGAGATGGTTGTCTCCCGTCCGGCCGTGTCGTGTGCGAGCTCCCACCGGCTCGGCCCCTTGATGACGGCCGCACCGTCCTCGCACCGAAAGTCGTCGGTGAGGTCGCTATCGTATGTGACTCTGAACGACCTGAAGCCGCTCTGGCCCCTCAGCCGAGTCACGTAGTACTTGAGCTGACGCTCGTAACCTGACCACACAAACAGAGATCGGCCTGTATGTGTTTGTCTGTGTGTATGTATGTGTGTGTCTTCCCCCCAGCCGCCCACTCCACTCACCAGCGAGCATGTCTTGGAGGTTCTTGGACTTGGTGTCGAGCTGGTGGGCAAATGAGGCGCTGTCGGCCTCGAGGTCCAGCAGGGCGGTGAGCTGCTTGTTGGCCAGGACTGTGGTCGGCTTCAGGACGCGCCTCGCCTGCTGCACGGCACTCCTTGCCTCCTCTGTCTGCTTGTCGACGTGGTGGGGGTCGACTGACAGGGCGTGGCGGTCGATGTATGTGTTGGCTGTCGAGATGGCGAAACCCGTGTCGAATCCCGTGCCGGCCTCGACTGTCTCGCGGGGCGGGAGAGGCTGAGCGATGCGTGTAGCGTTGGTGAGGGTGGCCGTCTCTGCGATGACTTCGACGAACATTGTCGGTGTGGTTTCGGCGGTCGGGCGTCGGGGGCACTTGCGGGCTGTGGGCAGGGAGAGGGTGAAGCTCCGGTCCCACTTGAACGGGCCTTGGGAGGACTCGGATGTGACGCCGTTCTGCGTCGACCCCTCGTACCGCTCGAAGCCCTCGCGCAGACGGACTGGTGGCCACACACACACACACACATGCACACAATCCGTCTGTGCGTATGTCTGTGCCACTGACCAGTGACGGTGCCCCCGTCGGCAGCGGTCACGCCGGCGTGTTGTGCGGCGAGACAGACCGAGGTGTCGTCTCTGTAGATGCCCGTGCCGACCACCTTCGTCGCGGCAGTGGTGCACGGCGGGCACTTGACGGTGATCTCAGTGTGGAGAGGGCCCTGGAAGGTTGATGTGTCTCCTCTCGGCGACGATCCGCAGGCGATCGAAATGGCCACACTGTGCACATGGCGACACGCATCCATCCGCCACATACAGACAGAGAGCGGCTTATTGTGTGGTGTGTGTCGTTTGTTTACGGTCGCTTCGTGGGTTTGACTTCGCACAGCACGCCCATGACACTGACGTCGGTGCCACCCAACTCGAAGTACGCTATCTCGGCCGCAGACAGACCTGCACACACACACAGACAGAGGTGGGTCGTGTGTCTGCGTATGTGTGCAGAGTGAGTAGTGCATACCTGGCTTGATTGCGATTCCCGCAGCCGATAATGCGATGGCCGGCCGGGGCGTGATGGACGACAGCAGACCATTCAGTGAGGGCAAGGAACCCTGCAGGCAAAGAGACAGAGAGAGACACACACGCCATCCAGCAATATGAATTCATGCAGCCAGACAGTGAGTGAGTGGATGGGTGTGTGGCTACGTTGCCGGCGATGGATGTCAGTTTGCCCGCACACACGCCGCTCTCACACGTGAAGTCGTACGCCAGCTGCACACACCACACACACCCACACATTGCACCTCCCTCTCTCTCCCTCTCTCCCTCTGTCTCTCTGGTTGGCGTACCGGTATGACGCGTTGTGTTTCGGTGGTGTTGTCCTGCTGTCGGCCGAGCCCCAGCGACTTGAGGTACGGCAACACGACTGTCAGCTGGCTGGCATCTCGCAGCTCAAAGGTCGTCATGCCGAGCTGCTCACAGCTGTGCTGGGCGTCTGCTGGCGTCTTGATGAGGTCGGAGATGCTGTGCCCCGCTCGTCGGCCGGCCGTGAAGAGGGAGGAAGGCGTGTGGCAGAAGGCGCGAAAGGGCGTGTCTGCGCAGGGCGGCTGGACGTAGTAATAGCCGGATGGGAAGGCCGCCGGCTGTGTGTGTGCCAGGCCGGCTATGTCGCTGCAGTCGTCTGCGGGGCTGTGCTCGGTGTCTCCGAGTGTGAGCAGGCTCTCGTCGATGGCGTACGAGCGGAGCTTGGCCTGCACGTGGTGGAGGTGAGTCGTGAGTGTGTCGTCCGCTGCGGTCAGGCGCTGCAGGCGGGACAGGGACGCCTGTGTCTGCGTGCGGCACTGCTTCACCTCCTTGGCAGCCATCGACTCGACGGAAGCCGTCGTGAGGTCCATCTGGCGTGACGAGGACTTGAGCTCGTGACGAAGAGACATCAACTGCGTCTGCAGACATCAATCACACACAGAGACACAATGGGCCTCTGTATAATCACATCCCTCTCTGTGTGTGTGTGTGTGTTGACATTTGGCTGGAGGTCTGCTGTTTGTACGCCCTCGAGGAAGAACTTGTCTCGTGCGTCCTTGGAGTGTTGGGCGACGTCGCACTCCTCCACGCCCACGCGCAGCTTGTTGGCCAACAGCGTCACGCGACGGATGCCGTAGACATACCGACTAATGTCGACGGCCGCGTAGACGGGGTGGGGCTTGCGGAGCACCAGACGCACGTACTGGGCCTCTTGCGGTGGCAGTGCAAGGGCGGTCTCGTTGAGTGGGTTGGCGATGACGTTGGCCGCCTCCGTCTCGTGGGCCTTGTCCAGACTCAACAGAACACCGAACTCTGTGAGTGAGGCACACACCACACAGGGGTGCGTGGCGTGGCGTGTCGTCAGTATGTCTGTGATGCTATGGTGACGTACCGAGTGCGGGGTATTCCCATTCAATGGTGATCTTGTCGAGCCTCGCCGGCTCCCCCAGGTCGATGTCGAATGTGACATGCTGGCCAGTGGCGTCGGCGTCAAGCACATCACTGGCCCAGTAGGTATCCCCTTTGCCGTCCACGGCCTTCTCGGGTGCGTGTGTGGGGTCGTCACTGGGCCTGTTGGTCGAGGCGATCGAGTGGAGGGCGAGGTCGACATCGCCCGCCGACTCCCCAATGGGCGTGATGCAGAATTTGCCGGCCTTCATGACCCGCAGTTGGCTGTTGGGCTGCACCTCAAACAGAGACCGGCCGTCTTGAAAAGACAAGGCACTCTCGCACGGCGCCAAATCCACAACGCCACCTGCAATGCACACATCGATCCATGGAGAGACAGATCCGCACCAACCAATGTGTGTGTGTGTGTGTGGTCTGTGCCATGTCACCGACCCTGTTGGTGTTTGTTGTCCTTGAGCTGGACACACAGGCCGCCAGCGACGTTGGCGAGTTGGCCGTTGGAGTTGAAGCGGAAGAGCTCCCGCCCGTCGCCACTGGCGGCCGCCTCGAGACACGACGCCAGCGTCACTCTCGCGCCAGACGTTTGGACGCGGCCGTGCTCGACCTGCAGGCACTGCTCCTCGCCGATGGATGTGATGCCGCTGATGAGTGTGACTGTGGGGACGCCATAGCCGATGAGGCGGAGTGTGTTGATGCCGTAAAAGTCGTGGACGGGCCGACCCATCACCACCTGCATGGCCTTGACGCGCCTCGGTGCGTCGAACAACAGATCCTGACGAAGACAGAGATGAGACACAGACACACATATGTATCAATCTCTGTCTGTCCGGTTTGTGTCTGTCTCATTGATTGGCTGCTTGCCTGGTCGAATGATTCCTCTGTCCGTGGTGCCGTGCGCATGGGCAGCGCTGCCTCGTACTCGCGGCCGTCGACCGACGTCTTGATGCCCACCTCACCCGGCGCGTATGCCCAGTGGATGGACACGCCCCGCACACGCTTGGGCATGCCCGACACAAACCCGGTGAACGTCACGACGCCGCTGTCATTGTGGCCGCCAGCCGAACA